GGATTCTGATCATCATTGCTTGCTTGACTCATTTTGACAAAAAAAAATATTTAAAAAAAGAATTTATGAACTAACACTTTCAGTAAACAGTTCTTTCAACTTGAACACCAAATTGCGACTGAATTGTTCTTTTCCTTTCACTGAGTACTTTTGCAGTCGCTTTTCATTTTTGAAACATCAATGAAATGAATGACATGTAAATTGGTAAAAGTGTCTACCTGTGATACAAGAGAACTGCATTTTTCTTTGTTCTCGATGTTAGGTCAAAGTCGAATTGGTACAATTGTATGCATACCTTGAAGAATTCATTACTTAAGAGATTGTTTTTGTTTTTCGAGTGAAAAAATATATTTATTTCTGAACACCATTTCTTATAACGATAATATTTGGGATAGTTTTGCGTTTCGAATTTTGCAAAAATTAATATTATATTTGAAAATATGCGGCAATGCGTTTGCTCCAAAAACATTTGCATTGAATTTGATCAGCAGCTTCCACTCATGAGTCATGACATCAATTCTTGATCTCATTCAACACTTTTAATTTCGCATATTTTACACCAAATAATAAATATCCAGTGGGTCTATCTTTTTCGAGAAAGCCATGGCAAGCTTAGACACTCTAACCTGAATCGACTTTTGAACATTGTTATAAGATCATTTACATCAATCGAAAAAAACATCGTATTGCGCCTTTCTTCGCCCTGAAAAATGTATTTCATTTTTTTCCGTCAAAAAAAAATCCGCCATCAAAATTGTCGCGTTTCCCGTTCGAACAATCGGCGCCTTTTGAAAGGCGCACGCACCATTTCTGCGCCTTTTAATGAAATGACGAGAAAAAGGATAAACGAGCACATCGTATGATTCGTATATAAACAGCGTGTACGAAAAACAGCATAGTAGGCGCAGATTCGTTACATTTTTGGTATTTTTTGTTCCTCTTTGTGCGGATCTTCGCAGCACAATGGAGATTCAAACGAAGAAGAAGTATGGTCTTAGCATTTTAGCATAAGAAAAATCGAATGAAATACGAGTCATACGATGTGTTGCTTATTCTTTTTCTCGTCATTTCATTAAAAGGCGCAGAAATGGTGCGTGCGCCTTTCAAAAGGCGCCAATTGTTCGAACGGGTTGTTGTTCATTTTTCATTTGTATTCTGTCTTTTTTCTTTCTTCAACATTTATTTACACGAATCTATCGAAAAACTGCGGTATATTTTATCAAAAGTCGTAATGAAATTGCTTGTGCTATGTGATAGCAATCAGCAATCAAAGAATAAAAAAAACCAACCGCCTTTATTTGAACACACATTCTATCCGTTGATTCTTTTTTATTGCGAGTTATTAGTTTGTCAATTGTGTTTGGAATTTGTTGGTTTTTTTTTGGGCTCAATTTCGTATCGGATCATTTATTTTCGGCATGCAAATAAATGAAAGCGAGTAAAGTGTGTGTGGCGGTGCAAGGTATTTTTCACATTTTAACTCTTTTTTTTCCTCGTTCGTGCAGAACAACACAGTTTTTTTTTTCTATCCTTTACGCGATATTCTTCATCCACCGTGACAGAAAAAAATTCTCATCGCATTGTCACTGCATTAAAATAGACGAGAAAAAAAATAGCTTGTTTATATGCGCCGTGGTGATATTTCGATACCCGATTTTGTTTTTTTTTTCCGGTTGGGTCTTGTACAGTTTGTGCCAAATGCCACACTCCCAATCGCCTGTTCACGCGAACCGAACAAAAATTGTTGTCATCAATTTTGAATATAAATGCTAATACACACAAATGTTATGAATTTTTATTTGATTTCATTTAGAATTTCGTTGAGCAAAAGAGCAAAAGAGAAATAGAGATAGAGAAGGAAAGATTGTAAATCTAATTCGACTGCAAATATTGTGAGTGGTTTTATCAGCAGGTTTGACGTTGTATTAAAGCTCATCATTCGCTATTTGCCCTTTACTTGCCCGAGCCGTACTTCGGTACGAGTAAGATTACTAGATTTCCGGAGATGACGTGATTAATCATCAACAGAGAAAAGTATAACATATATAATATTCTGTTTCCTCTTCTGATTACGGTCCCGTTGATCAAACCATTTTATGGCTAGTCATGAACGAACTATATTTGATATACAACTGCAATCTGTTCTCGTCTCTTATCAGCTCTGTCAATGTGATGTTATTATCACACCAGACGCTGTATTTTTGCTCAAGTTTAGCGACATTGATTACGTGAAAACTGTCAAGTATATAAACTTGACTGTGCACAAGTCATTGGGTCGATCGTTTACGATGTCAATGTATAATATATGACTTTATTTCATAGCCGAAAAAAGAGAATCAATCCCGTGATAAACACGCTTTTTCCCATCACATCAAAATCTGCAATAATTTTTTCATTACGTACGCACTCGCTGTTACAAAACAAACAATTTCATTATCACTTTTTTATAAATTTCAGTTGAATTTTGTCATTCACACAAATCAGTTTACTCAACGCACCGTCCAAAATACAAACAGGCACACACACACACACACACACATGGAGAAAAAAATCATCAAAATCATAATTGTTGGTGCCGGCGCATCCGGATTTGCAGCCGCATCAAAACTGATTTCCAATGGATTTGAAAATGTGACGATTTTGGAGGCCGAGAATCGCATCGGCGGACGGGTTCATACGATTGATTTCGGTGCCAATGTATTGGATATGGGCGCACAATGGTGAGTTTTTTCTTAGAAATAGATTTTTATATGAAGAACCTTGAGGTGTTTGAAAAAATTCAATTCGAATGTGGTTTTTTTTCGATTTTCTACACTTTTTCGACAAAAAATAACGACAAGTGAAGAAGATTTTGAAGATGAAAAAAGAAACACAAGTGATATAAACAGAAAAGAAGTCACTTTTTAGCCACGTTTTTCAGTTTTTCGAGAGAAAAACTACACTTCCATCAATTAAATCAAATAAAAATGTGAATAATTCCTTAGGTGTCACGGCGAAAGTGGAAATGTCGTTTATGAAATGGCTAAAGATAAGAATTTGCTTTCATCAAATGTTCCAACGTATAAAACATTCAATTTTGTACGATCAAATGGTGAAGAAATACCAGCAGAAATATCGGAGCGATTAACGAAATTAGCCATGGGTATTCTTGATCGCAACGACCGTGAGCGAGAAAAGAGAGCATACCATGGATCACTTGGTAATTACTTTGCACAACGGTGAGTTAGAAACAGTATTTAATCTCAACTCGCGATTAATAACCCACAAAAGATGAATGATCATTTAAAGCTTATTAGGAGTACTCGTGAATGATGTTACTATGTCATTGTCCTTTTATCAAATTTTGACTCATGCAAAACACATTGATAACTCATTCTCGCTCATTATTTCTTTATCTCTCCGTCTTCGCACTCCTAAACATATGCTAATGCTTTATTTCACGGTGCCAAATCCACTAAAAATTGGATCATGGTCAAAAGTCAGTATATTTATCAATTTTCACACATTTTCAGGTTCTACGAAGCGTTTCGCACACCTGAATACAGTGATATCGATTCGATTCTTCAACATGAAGCTTTTGATTGGTTTCATCGTATGCGCACATCATGGATAGCATGTGATTTATGGTACGATGTATCATGCGGTAATTATCTTGAATATTGCGAATGTCCAGGAAATATGATGTTAAATTGGAAGGAAAAGGGATATCGCACGGTTTTCGATTTACTTCAGGTGAGTGTCACCATTAAAATTGGGTATTTTATCATGAATTCCAATGTAAAGCTTGCTTTGAGAGATGAGCTTGAACTATTTTGAGTTTTAAAGAAAATCGAAATTATTAAGCTTAGAAAAAAAAAATAAATAAATGTTCCAAAAAAATACCCATTCTCATTCTAGAATAAAATTCCAAGCGGCGGTTCCGATTCGATCGATGTTGAATCAAAAGTGCTTCTAAACAAAGAAGTGTCAAAAATCACTTACGATCAAACCACCACCGAAGCTGATCGCATAAAAATCAAATGTTCCGATGGAAGCGAGCACTCGTGTGATCATTTAATATGTACCGTCTCATTGGGTGTGTTAAAAAAGAACTACCGAAAAATGTTCGAACCATCTTTACCGGATTACAAAGTCGATAGCATTGAAGGCATTGGTTTTGGAACCGTTGATAAAATCTATGTTGAATTCACAAAACCATTTTGGAATGAAGAGTGGGAAGGAGTTTCATTCCTTTGGAAGCCAGAAGAAATGGCGGCGATTCGTGAGGATCCAATCAATGGCGAATGGATGTCAAGCATCATTGGATTTTATCCAGTTAGTTTTCAACCGAATATTTTGTGCGGATGGATTACTGGACAGGCAGCACGAAAAATGGAACAAGTCAACGACAATGATCTGAAAACTGGCGTTAATCATGTGTTGAAATTATTTTTGAAAGAATGGAACGGCGCTGAAGTAAAAAACACGATTGGGTACGTATTGTTATTGCGAAAAATGAGCAATTTTTCGTGTTTGTAATGAAATTTCATATCAAATAATTGAAATATTCTTGGTGGTTACAGCTCAAAATGGAGTTCAAACCCGCATTTCAACGGTTCGTTTTCATATTATTCGCTGAGAAGCGATACGGATGATGCATCAACAAGCAATTTAGCCACACCGATCTATGACGCAAACAAAAAACCAATCATTCAATTCGGTGGCGAAGCTACCAACACACATTTCTACTCTACGGTTCATGGAGCAGTCGGTTCGGGTTGGCGAGAAGCACAACGACTCATCGATTCATATTGCAAATAATTTATGATTGAATTGTATTTGTTTGTTTTCAAATCGATTTTTGAACAACTTTTAAAATGAAACCAATTTGTATTGGAAAATTTAAAAATCTTCTTTCTCGGATAAACATAAAAAACATTAACTTTTCCATATTGCAATCTAACCAAATTTTATACCTGTCCATCAGGGGACCATTTTTTTTTTGTCGTCATTAAGACTTTCGTTAATGTGTCACCACATTAAAAGCAAGATAGCAAACTCAGATTGATCGAGATTGAAGACCTTTAAAAGGTCCATTGTTTACCCGACAGTAATAAAAGGATTAAAGCAATTATGTTCAACAAAAGTACCGTTTCTGCAAAGCAATCAATAATTATGACCGTTAATTATAAATGACTATTCAAATGTAGCTATTGGGAAAATGTCAATTGACTTGCCGGCATATTCCTTTACTTTTGTAGTTTGAATTTCTAGCGAAACGTGTGCTGTAACTAGTGTTGCCAACACTGTGTTTGCTGCGAACATCTACGAACACTCGTTCGTTCGTTCGCTCGTAGGCAATAAAAATAAAAATTTTGTTCGTTCGTTCGTAGGAATTGAAAAATAAAAATTTTGTTCGTTTGTTCGTTCGTTCGTAGCGATTTTTTTCTCAATATTTGAAATAAAAAATCGCTACGAACGAACGAACACAATCTAATTTTTAAATTTCTACGAACAAACGAACAAAATTTTTATTTCTTTTGCCTACGAACGAACGATCGAACGTACGTAGCCAACAGTAGCTGTAACTATATTGTCTGTTTTTGAAAAATGCACGCATACATTGATTTTGGACAATAACGTTTTTTAATCAATGATGTCAAAGAAAGGAAGAACCATTTATTTGTGTTTATGCGAAGGATTTTCTCAGAAATGAGAAGGTTACTGCCAAATTCCTTCTAATGTATGTATGGAATACACTACTTTGAACAAGTAAGTTTTGAAACTGCATTTGCGTGTACAATTGTACTTTCGTCGATTAATTAAAAGCTATACCGTAGTGATCAATATTCGACGGAAGTTTATTTATTTATTCACCGTCTGATCACAGACTGAATTTATCACAAAACTTTACAATAACGTTCAATGAAACACTACCCGATCGAATATTCAACCACCAGCCCTTTCGACTTCGGAGCAACAAATATCAATTGTGTTCATTGTATAATCTCTATTATTTGCAATGAGCGCTAATATCGTCGATTTTTCTTTATCGATTCCACCAATACGACATCTTCTAAAAAACTCGCCGATTTCTGTTACTAGTGGTGTTTTAATACAGCTCGTGTAAACGTACAAAGTAACACACTGACTACAATTCTGTGTATGCGTATGTATTACAAATTCTGCACTCAGTCGTCAATCGTAGCTGCTTGTGCAAAATTCACAATACATACGCATACACAGGATCGGAGTCTGCGTGTTCTTTTGTATTAGTTCGTATGTAATACAGCCATAGCCGTATAGTTCGCTCGAGCTGTGTCAAAGCAACAGTAGTAACAAAAATCGGTATCTTTTTTAACAGATGTCGTATTCGTAGAATCGATAAAATTAATTTGTATGGGGAATATACGATACTAGTTCCCATCGATTATTTGAGTACATTTTTTAAAAATTAATCAATTCACCGATTCACAAATATCAAATTGTGAGTTTATCAAACATATGAAAACTTACTGCAATCACCGTCCATTCAGATTCATGCGTCTAGTTTACTTTTAAAGTTTCATTCAGTAGAAATAAAAATTCAGGTCGATCATTGATGTGTGACAAGTGACGTGCTCTTTCTATAGGTTTCATTATTCTTAAAATATTGTAAAATAGCAAAAAAAGCAATAAAAACTGCTGCTGAACGACGTAAAAATTCACCATGGAATTTTGATCTCGCTGAGTCTATTGGATCCGTCCTACGTTAAAATAAACAAGAAACCAATGTTCCATTTTTAAAAAAAATTCCATCAAAATTGAAAATCGATTACACAAACAAAGTAAATTCATAGTTTTATTCAACAAGTTTCAAACAAATCAACTACAAATATTCAATTTTGAGATTAACACATTCCACTCATTTTCAGTGTTAAATTGAGTGTATTTTGCAGTCTAATCAAATACAGTGTTTTATTATCAACAAAACGGTCAGCTGTGTACGTACAAGTATTACTTCATTATGACATTGTTTAATCGGCATTTCAAACTGTTTTGTTTGTCAATTGTACGATGTTCGTGATATCAACAATCTATTGAAACAGTTGAAACTTCGGAATGTCACGGGGTAAGCGAAAAAGCGAAGTAATTATTTAAATTATCTCTGCGAATTATAAAGGTCTTCAAACAAATCAAAGAATAAGTAAGTCAGACAGTAGCTCGGTCCTTCCTTTCTTGAAATATATAAAATAAAAAACATATAAAAAAAGCCATCGTTTCGAATGCAAAGAAGGAAGTGCTTTGCAGAAGAATTCCACATAAAGAGAAAGATCGATTTTTTACAAAAGTCAACGAAAAAGAAGTGCAAAAAGGTTCAAACGAAAAATGGTTATGTGTTGATACTTGCTAGTTACTTTTATTACTTCTGTTCAGTGAGAATGAAATATGAACTAACTTTTACTGCTGTAAGAAGGCAAAAACTCACTCGGCGTGTATAGTTTACAGCAATTGTCAATGTTTTAGTTTGTATCTGTGTGTCAATTAGTGATTCTCCGTTCGTCTTATTCTCTTCTTTCTCTTCATTCTTCTTCTAATGATTTTTTTTGTGTGACTCGAACAAAAATTGCGAAGTAGTAAAAAAGAGGTCAAATATCATTGTGTCTGTGACAAAGCATTGTGTTCAGTCGTCGCAAAACACGTGTTTACGATGTTTTGTTTACGCCGCATATGCTATTTATAAAACTCATTTTTTTGCTGCTCGTTTTCGTACCTTAGGTCTACAGAATACCAACGCGATCCCCTTGGTGCGTATGTGTGTTTGTGCATAAACAACGACAGTGATGTTTAAAAAACAGTTGCTCCGGACAATGTGTGAGAAGATAAAAATTCCATTTGTATATTGTTATCGTCATGTGAGTGTCGTTGATAATTGCCATTGGCGACACACTGTAGTCTCAGTTGAGCCGGGACGGTCACACGAATTGGACGCTTGTATTTTGTCGACAGTGAATGAAATGGAGAAAAAAATCATCAAAATCATAATTATTGGTGCCGGCACATCCGGATTTGCAGCCGCATCAAAACTGATCTCCAATGGATTTGAAAATGTGACCATTTTGGAGGCCGAGAATCGCATCGGCGGACGGGTTCATACCATTGAATACGGTGCCAATGTATTGGATATGGGCGCACAGTGGTGAGTGGTTTTTTCCATTTTAAAACTGGGTGAAGTGAATACACTGAAAATGTATACTTTTCTCACGAAATTTCGGTGCTTGAAAATAGAAAAGAGTATCAATCACATCATCACTAAAGTAAAAGTGAATTGAAATTCAAACTAAATAACTCTATGGATTTCTTTAAAAAAAAATCGTCAGTTATTTCCTGTTTGTAATCAATATTCGATTTGTATATTTACTTCAGTTTACGAATTGATCAAAAATAAAGAGAAATGTGGCAAAAGAAGTCCTCAAAAAAGTTATAAAACTCAAAAGAGAAAATATTAACCAAAATCCACTTCATTTTAAAATAGGTGTCATGGTGAAGAGGGAAATGTCGTTTACGATATGGCCAAGGACAAAAATTTACTTTCATCAAACGTTCCAAGATATGATAGCATCGAATTTGTGAGATCGAATGGAGAAAAAGTCCCACAAAACATAACTGATAAACTCGGAAATCTCATGGATGAACTTTTGGACCGAGATGATAAGCGAGAAGAGAAAAGCGACTACCAGGGTTCCTTTGGCAACTATATCGCAGAAAGGTGAGTTGAATGCATAAAATCAAGTGAAATTTTTCTTTTTCTTACAAAATCAATGTGTTGGCTGGTTGATTATGCCTTGCATCGGATGATTGATTGTGTCTTAATGCATTATGCAATCAAGTACCATGGTACTTGAGAAAATACTTCACAATTAAACCAATGATTATGAGTGCTGATTAGAATTGATATACAGAAGATAATATTACATAATAGACGTTTTGATTCAAATGTTATCTCATTCTGTATGGAATCAATAAATGTTGCTTCAAAGAATCAATAGATAAACAAACGTTTGAGTGATATTCAGATTAAACTCACAACATACACACAGAGATAAGTCAATGAGTGTGATAATGTTTTCATAAGCGTCACTCTTTCGTACTTAATGCTGAAGAGCTCAAAAGAGAGAGAGAGAGAGAGAGAGAGAGAGGGAGAGAAAAGAATTGAGAAAAAGATAATTTTGTTTATGTATTGATGCGGTTGTGTGTTTCATTCTTGTCTCCACTCACATTGACAAGCGACAAATGAACACAAGCTGTGAATACATACAAATGTGTAGCTGTGAATGGTTATGACTTGAAGGATCTCACCTCCTACTCTCTCCCACAGACGTTTCCACATTCATGTTCATTCTCAGTGCCTCTTGAGTCTCAACTTCACACATACATACAGTTTATATGCTGAATACGACATTCTCTTTATACTTCTTTATGTTAATTTTATTGTATATGCGAAATCTTTAATCGAAAATATTTACCATGCTTTAAAATCATTACATATCATTTTTTCTTTATAGATATTTTCGCGCTCTGCGAAGTGACAAGTTCAACGACATTGACGTGAATCTTCAGCGTGAGGCATTTGAATGGTTTCATCGGTATCGAAATATGTACATAGCTTGTGATTCATGGTACGAAGTATCTGGACGTGATTACATTGAATATTGGGATTGTCCAGGCGATTTACTTCTTAATTGGAAGGACAAAGGATACACAACGGTTTTTAATTTGCTTCAGGTGAGGTGGAACAACCAGTGTATCCCCATTGAATTCGATTTGCTTTTTAATTATCATAATTTAATGATTTTTCTACATATTCCGCAGAATAAAATTCCCGTTGGATCTGAAAAACCAATCGACATTGAATCGCGAGTTTTATTGAATAAAGAAGTAACGAAAATCACATACAACGCATCCAATGCAAAACCAAATACAAAAGTCTTGTGTTCCGATGGCAGTGAACATTACTGTGATCATTTAATTTGTACCATGTCGTTGGGCGTGCTGAAAAATCGTCATTGGACGCTATTTGAGCCGCCGTTGCCGCGACATAAAATCGACAGTATTGAAAGCATGGGCTTTGGAACGGTTGACAAAATCTATGTTGAATTTAAAAAATCATTTTGGAATGCAGACTGGGAAGGTATTTCATTTCTTTGGAATCCCGAACAGTTGAAAGAAATACATAAGGATTCAGTGAACGGTCCATGGTTGATGGAGACACTCGGATTTTACACGGTCAGCTTTCAACCAAACATACTATGCGGATGGATTACGGGAAATGCTGCACGTAAAATGGAGTTGGTGGGTGAACATGATGTAAAGTTGGGCGTAGAGAAGGTGCTTCGCATGTTTTTGAAAAATTACGGCCAATTCAATGTGAAGAATGTATTTTGGTGAGTTTTACTTTTCTTAACCTTCTGTCCGTCCACATATTTTCGTCTTTGGGGCGTACAGCGCCCATAGTACATTTTTGTATGGGAATTGGTTGTTTTATTTTGAAGTTGAATTCTGTCTCGGGTGCTGTACGCCCCAAGGACGGACAGAAGATTAAATGAAATGAATGTTATTTTAATTGAATTTCTTCTGATTTTAGCACAAAATGGAGTTCAAACCCACACTTCCTTGGATCCTATACATATTATTCGCTGAACGCTGATGCAGTGGGTGCATCGACTGACTCATTGGCCGAACCGATTCTCCATCGAAATTCAAAACCACTCATTCAATTCGCTGGTGAGGCTACGCACGCTCACTATTACTCAACGGTTCATGGTGCTGTCGAGACTGGTTGGAGAGAAGCACAACGAATCATCGACTCATATAAGAGCACATCAATTGAAAAAGACATTCCAAAATTGAAACTTTGAGTGATTCAATAAATTTTCATTGAATTTTTTTGGCAACTATTCCAATTTAAGATATTATTGTACAATGCATAAAAGACAAGGAAAATATTTCAAATTATTCGGAAAATATACAATATTAAATAAAAAAAATATTTTTTTTTATTAGATGGAAAAAAATAAGGAATTTTTTTTATTTTCGTAGATATGATAAATTTGAATTTTTCGAAAAGAAAAAAAAAACTAAAAAATCGAAAAATGTGAAAAAAAAATTATTTTATTCGCATTTTTTGAAAGAATAATTCTTATCAAATCAACCACAGTTTGATTTAAAGTTCATCAAACTATTTTTATGGAATTTATCAAAAAACCACAATAATTTTGATTCTTTATATCAAAAGGTTATTTCGTATATTTTTCACATTTATCTTCTTTTCATACGGATGTTTTATGTTGATAATGCATTGCGCTGTGGTTTTCAATTTCGTTTCAGTATCACTTCATGCCTTATAAATAAATCACAAAAATTCAAAATCAAAATTAGTCGATTGGTGTTGTTTGAGTTGAATCATGTCAGTGGTGCATATAACAGAGGAACGTGTAAAGGAGCTGCTCGATTGGCCTTTGGTCTGTGATGCAGTTGAGCAAGCATTAAGAGCAATATGTGCGAATCGAACAAGTGATGAACAACCGATATCACAACAACCGATACGGAATTTCACGCCAACTGAAAAAGGTCTGAATCAATTTTATTCCAAATACATGTAACAATTGTAACATACAAATGTAAATTAAAATAATTGAAATATGTTGATTGTGCAGGTGTTTTATTGTGCATGCCTGGATTCATTGGCAAATATAAATTGGCTGGATCCACCAAGGTGTTCAATACGCTCGGCTGTAAGCTAGTGTCATCATTTATAGCGAATCGATTCTTAAATCCACCAAAGCCGAATATTATGGCGAATATTTTCCTATTCAGTGAGGAAACGGGTCAATTGAATGCAGTCATTGGCGCCGATGACTTAACGGCATGGCAAACAGCTGCCGCCTCTATGGTCGCAACCAAATACCTCTACTCAAAACGACCATCAACACCCGCTATCAATACAGTTGCCATTCTTGGATGCGGTGTCGAGGTACAAAGTTAAAAGACCTGAAATTATTATATTTCTTATATTCAATTTTTCGTACAGGGTCGAATCCACGCTATTGGTTTTTGTACAACAAATTTTGTTGATTCGATATATTTATGGAATCGTACAATAAGCCGAGCAGAAGCATTGGTCACCGAATTGAAACAGTTACGTCACAGCTTTAAAAATCCAAACGTTCAGATTATTTGCGGCGAGTCAGTGGCCGACTGTGTTAAAAACGCTGATGTCATTGTAACCGCAACGTATGCTGATACCCCGTTTTTATACCGCTCAATGATCAAAGATAACGTTCATATCAATGGTAATTTCCTCAGTTGTTATATTGTCAATTTTAGACTCAAATTTTGAGTTCTTTACTGATTCTGCCTAGCGACTGGCGCCGGTGAAAAAGGCCACCATTCTGAACTGGCCGAAGACATTTATACTGATCCAGAGTCAAAAATTTATGTGGACACCAAAGCAGGGGCCCGAATTGAATTTCACTTAAAAGCTCCAATTGTTTGCGAAATTGGAGACATTATTAATGGACACAACTCGACACCAACCGCAGGAATTACCATATTCCATTCGATGGGTATAACAGTTTTTTAATTAAAAATCGAACTTTTTTTATGAAAAATGCAATCTTTGATTAGGTTTGGGCGTTGAAGATGCAGCATGTGGTCAAGCTATTCTCGAAAAATTCCGAAAAAAATTGAATTGATGTTTTTTGCCAAACACACGAATCAAAATCATTTCTCCGAATTATTTTCTTGTTATAAATAAACGTATAAATAAAGTGGACGTTTTAACCAAAAAGTATTGCTTAATTTATTGTACATTTTCGGGTTTTTCTTCTTAAAGCTATAAATTCAATACAAGAAGGTCATTCAAGAATATTTTAAAAACGAAGGTCTGAATTCAGTCACTGGTCGGTGAGGTTTGAATTGAAACGACGATAGAAAGTTAACTTCACCGTCTAATTTGGAGGTCTGTGTCTTGGGGTGGTTCATTGTGATCTAACCAGAAGTTATGCAAAAGACAAGGGTTGAAATGCTCGAAAACTTCTTCCTAAGACTTATAAAATGTATGTAAACTGCTTTCATATTTATGGAGTATTAAAAAATAATTTGTATTCGGTGCCTGTTAGTTACGTAACTCGTTTGAATTTGAAAATGATATCAATTTTGATTCATAATCGTTTTTTTATGCATGTGCGCTTGCATTATATCCGATGTTGCGTGTTAGTTTGGGTTTCGATAGTGAGCGCGCGCAAAAATATCATTTTTGGTGATATTTGCTTATGATTTATTGGAAAAAGTGAAAAGTGCCATTAAAGCTAAACTAGCTGTTTGTTCAAACACATCGATTTTGCTGACGAGTTTGTTAATACCATGGGTGCTATTTTCTCCGATTTTTTTTTCTATCTCCGTTCCATTTGAATGGAAAATCGAATCCAAAACTCCGTCATCGAAAACAATTGAGAAAATTGATATGCTTTAGTTTGCATTTCATGTTTTATGATTGTTGTTTGGTTCGTGGCTCGTTGACAAAATCACGAAAGCCCGAAAACTGTCGCGGCGCCAAAGCCGCATACCGAACAGAAAAACTGAAAAAAAAATTCGAATGAACGAGTTAAACCACGAAATAACACGATCCAAATAAATATGTAAGCAATCAGACGCGCACCCGAAATGACAACAATGAATTATAATTCGAATGAGCCGAAAAACAAAACCCAAACAAACGACAATTGTAATCGGTGCTCGTGTTAGCGAGAGAGCACCGTCGATGGCAGTGAGAAAGAGCGAGATTGAACGCCCCGTGCAAACGAACAAAAATGCTCCCTCCCAAACGCACCACACAAAAAAATATATGTATAAACAGTTTATGATATATTCTGCGGCATTACGAAATATTATAATTTTAAATGATTGTTTTTGTGAAAAAAAGACGAAGGAAGAAGAAGCGAAAACGTCATCGAATATAATATTTATTCAATTCAGAAAAGTTTGTTTCGGTCGCGTTTTTTTACTCTTTTCTGGTTAGTTATCGAATAAATGTGACACGCTCGTTGTGACGACCCAATTGCCGTGAATGCCTTAGATGACAACAATAAAGAGTGAACGGGATGGCGCATAAGAACAGCGAAAAAAATATTATTATTATTAGTTCCCGAGAATATCAACCCAAAACACACAATCGAAGCGTTTAAATTTTCGGTATATTAGTTTCGATTCCATTTTGATTCGAAGCTTTTTCTCGACTGATGAATGGCCCGACATTACAGTTAACATGCAATTTATCGACATTAATACACTGGTGAATTTGAAATGTTATACATTCGAAAATCACGGAATTGCAGTGTCTCTTGGTCGGCGGTTCGACTGTGTGGATACCTCACACACAGGATTTCCTTGTGTGATCGGTAGCGCGCACATTTGGTGTTCGTGTAAAATGGGTGTTTTGTTGTTCCTTAACTCTTTCGCTGCGCCTTTTTTTGTTGTAGCTGACTTCTTTCTTGATTTCGGTTACATGTCATTAAACAATTTACGGAAAAATTATATTCAACGAACTTTTTCGTTGAGTTTTGTTATGTCGTTGAATATTTATTAACTCCGAAACTTTATTTTTAGCTGAAGGTATACCCTTTTCGATGGAGGTGGAGGGGTGAGATCGCGCGAATGGCTTACTCTTTATTATCATCGAGTTAAATTGGAGAATGCAAACAAACTGAAAATAACAAGAGTCAAAAAAAATAATAAGTCGGAGTTTGTTTTTTACATTTTGGGACAAAATTCGAACAACTCACGACGTGCAGTGGAAATAATATGAATATCATAAATTAAGCATGTGAAAATTGTTGAAATCGTGCCACAATTGTATCGCTTTTCGCGGGGCCAAATGCACAGATTACTTTCATCGCTGACTCTTTTTGGTAGCTCTCACCGTCATCGACACAAATAATAATAATCTATTTTATACCCCATCAATGCATATATTTTCACGATGAAAATGAGTTAAAGTAACCAAGAAGGAAAGAGAACAAAAGAAAGAGAGAGAGAAAGAAGCAATAGAGAACTGTACATGAAAGGCAACTCGAGTTTGTTTATTTTCTTCACTGTGTGCACTTTTTCCGAGTGGAACCGAATCAACCCCACTGCTAATGAGTAAGCACTGCGCACACTATAAATGTAAATTACATTAATTTTATTCTTTTTCACAAATTAACGCTCATTAAAACTTCTCATCCACACGAAAATTTGTTATTCGAAGAAAATAACAAAAAACTGCAACTTTTTTCCTCAATCCATGCTTTCCACATTTTTCAGTAAACATTTTTACATAGAAACCCCGTACACATGCAATGATCTGGAACTTAATGTTTAAACTGAACTGAACAATGGCATTCACACAACCGAAAATATTCCAAAAACCAAAACGGAATTTTTTTCAAACTTTTTGAATTGAGTCGAATGCGCGCATATAAATCACATTCAAGAGCGACATATGAACGCATTTAAGCGCTACTTTTACAAATAACATATTTTTTTGCATAATACATTCCATGAATTGACGAACATTTTTTGAGTTAATGAAGAGCGGAACCGCAGAACTGTGAATTTTATGTGAAAAAAAATGATTAAATTGAATTAAAAGTGAATTAATTTCAGTGAACATTTTTCTATTTAATTTTTATCGTTCTTAGTTTCAATGGAATTTTTTTTTATCGAAAAATTAATTGGAATTGCTCATTTATTACGAAACTGATATTTTTTAAGTTTAAGCTACAAAATAACTACATCGATTTTTCTTGTCACTTTTATTTTTGGCTCTATCGATTTGATTTTTGCACATCCTTGAGTTCGATTATTAGATCATGAAATGAACCATGAGTCCGAAATTTAAACTACTTATCCACCAACGGCTCATCTCGATCTCTCACTCTCATTGGATACTGACCGATGTGTGACTATTTCATATAGAATTTATGGAATTTTCTTTTTCCTTCGTATATTTTCCAGAACTTTCCGAGTTATCACCTGCCATCATTATCATTTGAATTTCTACGATTAAATTTGGTTCGAACCTTAAGGCAATTGTGTGAAATTCTTCAAAAGTTGATTAATTGGAATAATCTCTATATTTTTTAAGATTTTGATCGATCAAATAATGATTCAATGTAAACCCTCCCAATAAAGTATTAAATAATTGATATTGATCCCTAAAAGCAGAATCATAATTTTGTGGTTTTTTGAAAAATTGGTCAGCTAAAACCAAACCGGCAAACTTCAAGTCTCAAATCACAAATCCCCAATTAATTAAAACTCACGAAATCCCCGAAATTGTACTGAAAAATTGTAATAACATTGAATTGAGGGCTCCATTTTAATCTCATATCATCTCAATGCCATTATAAGTATTTGGCTTATCAACCGCAAAAAATATGAGAAGATTTAGTACTTGTTCACAATGATGCTCCCGTCAAAACAACTTAACACTGAGATTTTCTGGGTGTATCTTTTGAAAAACCGTGTCGAGTGCGTAAAAGTAATACAGCCTCCCCTAACGTATCGTGTATTGATCGACTCTCATAGTAAACTACTTTTACTACGTTGTATACGAAATGAGACGAGTCTGAATTCTCATAATAAAAAATACTACGACCTTCCATCCAAATAAGAGCAACAAATCTTTGGAGTAAGACTTCATAATAGTAAAATTGCACTTGAATGTACTTGATATTGTCTGGATGACTGGAATTCAATTATAATATTTGGAGCATTTCATTCAATTCATATAAATAATATAGGTCAATGTTTGGATATTGAAGACTTTTGATCAAATAAATTCACATGCACTCGCTCCATATTTTACGAAAACTCTCAGTAATGCAGAATAAATATATGCCGAATGAAAAATCAATACGTTTATTGCCAAGTGGCCGAATTGAAGTTACTCGAACATTTAAAACACTTTCTCGGAACTTTTTGATTCAACGGATTATATGTTATTTTTAAAAGAAAGGCAATGATGTCTCAATCTTTGCATCGAACTAAGGTGCAACATCGTATAGCCCATAATATAGGCCCTATATTAGCCTTGGAAAATTGACTTAAAATCAATCAGCTGTTTTTTTTTAATTCATTAGAAAATCGGATAAAAGTTACAATTTTTCTATAAAAACGCATTTATTATTTTTTTGTGTAAAATATCAAAATAAATGTCCGATCAAGTTTGGATTTCGGAGAATTTGAAGAGCACAAAATTTTTATTGTAATAATATCAAAAATCAATCCCCATTGAAGTCCATGGAAAATTGTGCGAACATGATTCTTCTTCCAGTAATAAAAATCAATAAATCTCGATGAATTTTCATACAAAGAAAGACATTTACAATGAGAAAAATGTCAAAATCACCCGATAAAACCACACAAAATTCAGGTTCAAATTGAAATTGTTCAGCCAAATTCTTTGTAAAAATCTGCAAAAATGATGGAGACGACGGGAATAACCATGAATTTTTTGCTTGAAAACCCAAAACAGAGTGAAATTCACAAGATTGTGTCAAAAATGAAGATTGAGCTGTTCAAAGCACTTGTAATTTTCGGCATCGTCGAATGCAAAGTGGCTAGTGAAATGTGTAATAGTTGCGTTGTCAAATGCATCATCACACGTAATGAAAATGTCGTGAACAGCCAAAAATGGTTGTGCGTAGAAATTGTATATGATTGTGATGGGCATTCGAATTAGCGCTCGAAAAGTGAGAGAAATAGAGAAAGAGAGCGAGAGAAAGAG